TTGCCTTTCTAAGCTCGTCGGCAGCGCGGTGCCTTTCGGTTCAGTTGATCCTTTGCAGAGGTTTCATACCCCCACTTATACAGTCATCGACGCAGTATTATTTGAATAACCGCATGTCGATCATTGTTAATGATAATAATTCTTTAATAGAATATTACATACACAATGTAATGGCCGATTGGAAGGTAAAGAGAGATGCCTTGACCGTGGTCAGTCGATGGCTCACCGTTTAGTTTATTTCTTGCTCACAATTATTTACAGGAGACAAGTCGTTCGGAGTCTCGCATCAGGTGGGAATGTGCCTGGTTCAGATAAGGAAAATTAGCCTGAAGTTGTGTTGCGAGACCATACGAAATCGCTTTGCACTCTTTAAGATCCATTTTTGGATTTCAGCACTTATCCTGATATTTACGAGAGATTTCGAGCAGGTGCCCTAAATTACGGCACGAAGAATGTGAGCAGGTGCTCTGAACACGGAGAATGTGACTTTTACATCAAGAACTCCGCTTCGTTTTCGTTCCCTGAGTGTACCTAGTGAATATTTTGTTTGGCCTTGGACTTTTCAGTTGAATGTTCTTTCACATGGACGCGTAGTGGTCGACCTGTTCCGCTAATGTATTCGTTCCTTCCTGTCTTACAAGAAAAGATACGCCTTACCAAATCCCATAATCCCCGTTTGCCACGAAGGCAAGTTAGGCAGCTTTCCATCAAGTGGCCCTCTAGAGTTTTTAAGAGTATCTTAGTCGCTGCTACCGAATTGTCTAATGCTGCCTTACTTTGGTTTGCTTTTGTTGGGCAATACATCCTACAAGAGTTGCTGTGTTATTATCAAATATTACAATCGAACAATCAACACCACCATCAAACCTCCAGTGTGAAAGGAGTGCTGCCGAGAGAGGTTTATACTTGATCAATGCTGGGCCAAAGAAGATCATATCTGAACGACAACGAAGGCTAAAACGAGGCAACTGTGAAGCATCGGCTCGGATCAAGCGGCTCTGAAGACGACGAAAGGCATTGAAACGTTGACCGGACAGACTTGTTTCAAAACAACTTCATGAAACTGGCTCAAGCACAAAAAAGATATATTTGATAAGTCCGGAATTGAGAAAAAGTCAATTATCAATTTATCAAAGAGCGAGTATCAATAAAACGATGAAACAAAGTTTTTCCTACATTTCTATAACAAAAAATCAAAAAATCCCTCTGAAGCGGAAACGATAAATCTAACTGATTAAGGAAAATCATGTCCTACAAAGGCGGTAGTTGAGTTCGTTTCACCAAGCGCAGGAAAGAGAATGACGTATTTTCGTTATTTGTCAAGAAATCCTTTTCCCGTTTTTGAAACAAATTTCTGGGCAGGACAAAAACTTTTTTTAGAAAGACTCTTTCACAGCACTGTAGCGCTAATATATCTCATACGCTTTGCGTGTTATCGCTCGTGTTTTTCATAGGATAAAGCACTTTTACTGGTAGCAATTGTTTGATAGCACAATCTCGGAGATTTCAAAATGAGCTTGTTTTTCTCCTGAAAGGTTCTCTTACAGCACTGTAGCAAAAATGATTTGTATCTCACACGCACGTTTTTCTCACAAGACATAGCTCTTGCCCTTAGATGATCGAGATCCATTTGATAGTGTGCGGTTACAACAGTATGCTTGTTTTCTAAAAAAGATTTTTTACTTTTCTGTAGCAGTAAAATATGTTTGAGTTCAAACAGGCTCATTGCTCGTCGAGTAAGTATGTGAAGGGCTCTGGGTCGATAGCATGATCCACATGTGGATGTCAAATGAAGATTCGACCCCTATCTCTGAATAAGGACTTTCCACTGCGCTTTTAGTATGTGTTAGGAAGCATGGCTGCCCTTCGTCCAGCGTTCTGTCAATCCTGTTTAGGATGACTCGAGTGAAGAGTTTATAGACAACGGACCGCAAACAGATTGGGCGATAATTGCCTATGTCGTGAAGGTCCCCTTTTTGAACAACAACACGGCCTTGCTGGTTTTCCAATAAATAGGAATCTTCCATTCCGACATGTAGCTAGTGAACAGCCGAGCCAGGGTGTTGATGAGAAGTGGCGGTAGGTTTTTCAGGTGTTCTGGTCTAATCTTGTCTGGACCAAGTGTTCTTCTGTTCCTCACCGACGATATAGCATGTCGGATTTCAGAAGGGAGGACCGATGGAACGACAGATTCATACTCTTTTAGATTATATGACGTTAAGAGGACATGGCTGGCGAAGAGATCCGAGTACTACTGAGGGATGATTTTCTCCATCTTCTGGAAGCTGTTAGTATCCCTTCAGGGCATCGCGGTGCAATGATCCTGGTCTTATAATTGGTGAAGCCTCGCTGGGCATGCGAATGCTCTTTTCAGCTTCTGCAGCTCCTGCCAAAGCTGCTGCTCGTCTATCTTTGAGGTCTTCTTTTATCGCTTCTCTGCAGCGTTTGGCAAGTTTGGGCATGAGGGTTGGGTTGCCTGTAGCTCGTACGATTCCACGTTGACGTATCAGCTCGAGTGTCTGCGGAGACAAGCGTCTCTTCTGATCTAGGGACTCTCGGTTTTCATAGCGCTAACGTGAAAATATTCAACGATTCAATCGTACTCTTCGTCGATGTTGTCGACAATGGTATCTTCCCAAGAGCCGATTAATGATTTGAGTACATCCCAGTTTATGTGGTCATGGGACTTCATTATTTGAATGTAGCGGCTTTCTCTCCTTTCTGTGAAAAACGGAACTTTGCGCGAAGGAGGCGATCGTCTGAATCCGTGTAGAACTTGGGAACAACAGCGACGTCGCTCAGGCAAGACGTTCGATTTACTATGATATGCTCTATTTCGTTATGGTGAGACTCCCACGTCCCTCTTTGAGAGTGAGGCTTTTGAAATTGTGAGTTACCATGGATGGTTTGGGTCGTCATGATAAACTCACATAGCCTTTCACCCTGCTTATTCCATTCTAGTCCGTGGGTCCTAATGTGACGTTCTTCAGGCAATCTTTTGGGTCAGTTTTCGCGTTAAACTCTCCAACAGTGACCTTGAAGAATGTATGGTTTCTTTGAAGAATTTTTCATGGTCCATATAGAACGCTTTGACTGATCTTCCATAGCTTGATGTTGGTGCGTAAGCAACGAAGATAGTCAAAGCCGGCGTAGAGTCACATCGTTCCAGCCACCGTAATCGCCTAATACGGGTTCTTTGTTGTTCAAACAAATCAATGCTCACGGTCAAATTCGATTTCACGAGGACGCCAACGCCGCCGACACTTCTGATATCGCATGTTCCAAGGAACAGTTCTTCTCCGGTGTCATAAACAGCATGAAAAGAATGGCGCCTTCTCGTCTCAGCCAGGCCAATGACGTCGTACCTTATTCTTCTTGCTTGAATCAATAAATCAATAGATCTTCTATAGCGGAATCGTGAGCAGGTGTTCGTGCATTATAGGTACAGATCGTCATTTTAGTCCGTTTCTATTTGGTAGCCTAGTTTGGCCCTGAGATTTTAGCAGCCACCCCGTACTCGTCCTACCCAGCGCTGCCGTAGTGGGGGCTCTTTCGAAGTAAGGGGAATGAGACCCATATTTATTGCTGTTTTTAGCATTTTGATACCCAACATATGGCTTGCTAGGCTCTTAACTGAGGGCTGGGTACTCAAGAGTAGCTTGCCAGTCTCTCTCGGAGGAGCGGGAGGAGCTTATTGTTGAAGGCGATTCCTAATCGCTTTCCATGTACTTCCCAGCCGCTTGATTGCAGGCTTTTGGCCGACTTGACTCGTAGAAATAGAGTTTTGTCAAGTCAGCGCTGCAGATTCTGGAAGTTCACGCTCTGAATCCACCTGCGTCTCTGAAAAGCACACGGTCGCTTTTGGTTCGCTTTGAGTTCCCCTACCACCATCTGGGTACGCGCCACGTGCCCTCGCGACTAACCGGGCGGGATCCCTCAAGGAGGGAGATCCGTGGAGGGCACATTATCAGCATTAAATGATGGATTATCACAGGAGAGACTTCTGTAAAGGTTTTTTTTTGATAGAGGAAACGTCCATCTGCAGGTAATAGCTCTATGTTTCAATGAAAGAAACACATCATCCTAGGAGAGCTGACGCTGCTACTGCAATAGCTGAGTAAGATTTGACGTCGCGCGGTGAGCATCAAAACGACTCTCATGATCATTAGAGGGTTAATCTTGCCCGCCGCTTCATTAGCATCTTCCTCTTCGTGCATGAGCAGCAAGCGAATTTGTTCCCAAGACAGCTCTATCCTAAAGCAAGTATAGGCAAGTTGTATACCAAAATGTTTCCAAGAAGATGGGCAGTTGAACGACACCAAATCATGCAATTTTAAATACTTTTGGTTAATTTTTGATCTTTATTGCTCTACTGCAAAAGCTTACGGAATGACCTGGTAACGACGTCATCGCTGCTCATCAGGAAAAGAGACTGACCATCGATTGATCGTCATTGATCGTTATTGATTGGGGGGAACCGAACCCACCAGTTTGGTAGAAAAGTCATACCAATTGGTTATCTCTTGGACAATCGAAACAGCGAATTAACTACGCCTATCAGTGTGTGGTGTCCGCAATAGTGCGTGGCGTGTTTACATCGCGATTTGCCGCCAAAATTTACAAATTAATGTCACTGAGTTTTCTGCTGCTAACGTCCGGTCGTCTTTGTATTGATTATTTCCTTGCGGTTATTGATTTTTTTTATGAGTTCCGGGTGTTTTTTTTTCAATTTTATACGATCTGTGGTCATCGTTTACTATGCAGATCCCAGCATTGTTGCCAACGATTCGTTTCCTCCTAGTTATTCCTCCACAAAAATCTTCGGACATTTTACTTGTTGCTCGGCTGCTGTTCGAGCCGAATTCTGTCTTGCGCGTCGATGTCATAGAATTTGCTGATCGAGACAAATCTCCTTACAATGCGGAGTGCTGTGCAAAAACGTTTGCGTCAGCCGGGATTCGAACCCGGATCTCACTCTTTCCGGGAGCGTATGCTAACCAGCGTCGGTGGTGCAATGGTTAGCTTACGCTCCCGGAAAGAGTGAGATCTGGGTTCGAATCACGGTTGGCGCGAACGTTTTTGCACAGCACTCCGCATTGTTGGGTATACTATAACATCATACCACTGCAAGTGGCAGTCAAATAAAAAGATATCTGGGTGAAAATCTCCTTTCAATCGTCGAGATGGCCGGCTAGGGCGAACGTATGCTCAGCCCCTTCTCTCTCTCTCTCTCTCTCTCTCTCGCTGTTCTCGTTTTTCATTGTAATGGATTCGTTCTCGCACTATCGATGCGATAGATGAATTATTTCCCCCTCCCCGGTATCAGGACAGCTTAAGGGACAAAGAGCACTTGTGGCGCAGTGGTCAGAGGTGATCTGCGTGGGACACAAGGTCGATGGTTCCATTTCAAGCTCGTAGTTAAGCCGGTTGACTTCCGTGGGCCCAGGGGCGTGTTCAACAACCGCGCCTCCTCTGCTCCATCTACCATCTACTGGGCGCCATCTACAGTTTTTCTTCGTTGCAGGACCCGCAGCTAGGTTTTGGAATGATTCGCGTGCGGCCTGTGCCGGCGTACTGACTGCTGTTTCTTGATGTTATGTGTACAAGTGTAGTGTCAGCATCGAAAAACAGCAGTCACTACATCGCCTCAGACCGCACGCGAGTCATTTCAAAACTTACCTGCGGGCCCTGCAACAAAAAGCAGCTGTAGTCGACGTCCACTCGGAGCGGAGGATCTAGAGTGGTTGGGCACGCCCCTGGGTCCACGGAAGTCGACCGGTTGACAAGCCATCCATTCCTCAGGGGTCGCTAGATTCTAGACCTGACAGATCCGACCTTTCTAGGAGGATAAGTGGCACCGACTCGATACAGCAGCCGCAAGTCTTTATAAAGGCCATATATGAATACGCCGAGAGCTTTATGCTTTTTTATCTTCCGTATCGCGTCTGCATTGGCTTTTCCTTTGCTGGTACGCTCTTTGTCGCACTTTGCCGAAACTAAAGTCGCCACGTGGGCCGATCAATTGGCAATCATCCTCTTTCTTCATCACATCTGTGATCACCTGTCTTACCACGAATGAACGAGTAAATCGAACCTACACTAGTAGGTATCCGTCTGTGATTTCGAAACGCAACAGTTTCCCATCATGTTCCTGATTTTCCATGAAAATCCTGAAATTTGAACCAGTTGTCTTTTTGACCTGACGTCCCTCGGGGAACTTGGAAAACCCGTTGGGTACGACAGGGACACGCCGCCAACATCGGCTTGCCGCGCGCGGCGACCAGACGGTCCTTTGCTTTGCAGCATGTTTTCTTGGTGTTATCTTTTGGTGTCGATTAGTACTAAAGGTTCTTCTACAGACGTAGTTATTTTAGCAGGAAAAACTCTTAGTTAACCTGAAAATCACTACTTTTGATGCGAAACGTAAATCCTAAGGGTAATAACGAAACCGGCGCACAGATTCCACAAAAATGACTGCATTCACTTCTGTGTAAGCTTCTTCTAGAAGTCATATATTGCAGAAAATATTTTTTTTCGCATTCCATTGCTACAGTATCATGGAAATAAATACGAGAAAAGAAGTTGGATATGCTTTGTTACATCACGGATGTGCGTTTCCCATCAGTAAGTAATGATTTCTAAGACAACTGGGCGTTTTGTTTTGTTTTTTTTTGCTATAATGGTTACGTCTTTTATAAAAACCTTCAATACTAGTCAACACCATCAGGAATTCGCTGTGAATCGTCGTGGAGGTAGATAGAACCATCAACTGTCTTCCTGAAAGCCGGCATCGCTAACCACTAACCACTACGGGGTTGGCGGTGTGTCTCTGTCGTACCCAATAGGTTGAAGAGTATGCGCGCTGCCTTGGAGGTGGAATTCGTGGTCTCCAAGAGGAAGAGTGGGACACCGTTTACAAATCAGTCACTTTCGAGCATAACATAAGCGATTGGAACGAACCTGGAGAAGCGCGTTGATACACGGCGGGACATCCAGTTTCTTATTGATTTCAATTTAAAGCAGACCTATTTCGCTTACACGGTTCGTCATCACAGTCTGATAGCGGATTCCAGCAATTCTTGCATTCGATTCGTTTGCCCCCGCTCCTTCCGCCACAAAAATCTTCGAAATTTTACATGTCACTTCGACTGCCGCTTAAGGAATTCCCTCTTGTGTATGAGACGCCATAGCTTGCTAGTCGAGACGATTCTACTCGCAGTCCTAGAAATAGCCGAGGAAGGGCGTTTGTTGATTGATTGCAAGAGCGTATTAGAGGAGATCGAACCAACACCTTGCTTTATCACCTTGTTCATTGATATTATGCTACTCACCATGTGCTGCTCCCCTCCTGTCGCCTGATGTTATGATGTTCAGTTCAGTGTAATTGATTCTTCTATTTCAGAATGGCTAGTCGCAGTATTTTGCGGCCGAGACAAACATCCACTGCTACGGTGGTCTCCCAGACACCTACCAAAGAGACGATGAATGAAACGGTTGCCGGTATGTGTACAAGTCCAAAGTGGACCGTCTTTCAATCTCTATGGTTTTTTACTCGAAATATATCAGCTCATATCTCAAGCGTTAAGTTTTCTACAACCTGCGCATAGCTATTCAGTATGTGATCTTTCATCGGTAAGCTTGCATGTGGTTGATGGAGAGCTTCATATGACTACCATGAAAACCCGCATCGGAAAAGAGAACAAATGTGATCAATTGTCTCCGATCAATCCGACTCTGAGGGAGTCGAACTTGTCGGAGAGTGAGACGAATGAAGTTGTTGATTGGCACTTTTTCTTTATCGATAGTCACTTTCAACCTTTTGTGGATTTAGTCTTAGTAGTCATTCGATAGCTCAAACCTCGGCAGTTTTAAAGTTGCACTTCTTTTTGAAATGGATTTTTTGATGCTATATAGCAATGAAAGTAAAATTCTGTTTCGCACTCATCGCGTTTTTTCGCTGGATAACTTTTCTCCAAAACTTTCGATATCATTAGAAAGCTTAGATCTCTCTGATCTTAATGATGTGCTTAGTTTTCAAAAAGGGCTTCTCATTACACTGAAGCAGTCAACGGAGAATTGAGATTCGCACTCGGCGCGCTTTTCTTATTTGCTAGGGTATGCGATCTGCTGCGTATCAATCGAGAAGCTGATTGGTCGCACAGAGCGATTTATGTGTGGAGCTCGATCTTATTATTGAATATAGGGTTTTTCCTTCCGCTTTGAAAAGACTTCTGATAAAACATATGGTTCTGATGCTCCAAGATTTCCTCTACTCGTTCATATGCTTTCAATACATAGGCTCAGCCTGCTTATGCCTAGGTTTCAACTCACAGTTTACTCAGCAATATAAAATGAAAGTAGATAGCCTAAGCCCGTAGAACGATGAACGTTCCTTCTACAACTACAATACAAAAGACTTATAAGTCTTTACGAAACGGAGTACATAGGCTCAGCCTGCTTATGCCTAGGTTTCAACTCACAGTTTACTCAGCAATATAAAATGAAAGTAGATAGCCTAAGCCCGTAGAACAATGAACGTTCCTTCTACAACTACAATACAAAAGACTTATAAGTCTTTACGAAACGGAGTACATAGGCTCAGCCTGCTTATGCCTAGGTTTCAACTCACAGTTTACTCAGCAATATAAAATGAAAGTAGATAGCCTAAGCCCGTAGAACGATGAACGTTTTTTATACAACTACAATACAAAAGACTTATAAGTCTTTACGAAACGGAGCGGTTTTGTTTTCACTGCTGTGGCGCTGTAAGAAGGCGTTTCCAAAAATTAGTCTGATTCCAGTATCACCGAGATTTGAGCGCTCGAAAATTTACAGTCTAGTGGAAAGTCCCTGTCCGGCCAGATAGATCCATCCAAATGATCGTTACCGATAACGGAAAAATATCTTTTCTTTACGCGGATCTCGTGTTAACTCATCTGTGAACGAATACACATCTGACTCTGTTACATTAGTGACTTGGAGCGTAATTCGTAAATACCAAAATACTTGTGAACTCAAGGCGGTTACTCCATTATGCATCATAATTTTTAGATCCAATCATCTACTCTCCGTTTTCCTAGTCAGAAGTCATCTGGTCTTTACGTAACAGGATTCTGGAAATGATCCATGTTACTCTCATAGTTACATGATAAAATTGCATCTGCATCCACTTCCATAGAGAGTTTATTTTAGGGATCAATGTTATGGGTGACTATTGATATTGTTTTGAAATGAAACAGAAAAAGATTTGACAACTGGTTTCCATTTTATTTCGGCATTATCAATCAATCATAATTTTTATGGTTAAGCGTGCGCCACGATGTTGTTAATAAAAATCTCATTCGCCTAACGTTTCGATGCTTTTTCTTCAAAGCCGCTGATTGGAGTTGATTCCCCGTAGTTGTTCGTCCTCGTTGTGGTCTTTGTCTCTGTGGTCAATCTAGGCGAACTTTTCAAAATCTGAAAAAATTCCTTGCGGTTCGATTAGATCGACGGTGAAGAGGAAGACCACAATGAGGACGAACGAGTCTGGGCGATGGGACACGAATCATCGACTCTGAAGAAGCAGAAGACGTCGAAAGGCTAGCCAGATATGTTTTTTTTTATAATCCTCGTATATCAGCTAAATTATAAGAGAAATTATCGTCGAGCTGTTTATTTCCCTTTTTTTTCCAGGTCGACGGTCACTGCCGCGTTCAGCGAAAATTCAGGTTGAGCGTGAAGGATACAGGAGTCAGCTGTATTCACCGGAAAAGCGCCATGAAGTTAAAAAGAAAAGCAACGAAATGACACCAGCTTCTAAGATTTCACACAAATTTGCCTCATCAGTGAGCCATACTTCAAATATGTGGAAGATTCAATACGGAATTCTGTGTTTATGTAGTGTTTGCTGTCCCTATGTCAGGATGTTGGCTAGAAATATCGAAATAGAAGAAACTTTTAGTTAACAATCGACTCTCCAGCGAGCCATGGAAGGAGTTATAGATCGTTGTCAAGGACGCGTAGATCATCAGCTCATCGTTCCTTGAGCTTCTCGTCGAAACCCCTGAAGAAAACTCAATGCGAGGTTTTC